ATGTGCTGCAAAGGGTAAAATACAACCCAGATTTTGAAGATTTAGTATAAAAAAATAATGTAAATTGTTTCAATATTTTTATAATGACTATGTTTAAATAATATTTTAGCTATACTGTGTTAAATAGAACATTATTAACTTAACCTTAATACAACTCATGAAAATGTGGAGAACTACACAGCTGACTTAAAAATACCAAATATGCCCTAAAACTATAATTCCATGGTAAATTAATATCAACTAAAGTCATGATCAAAGTGAAATCTTGTGGCACAGAAAAGAGAAACAAAAGAGGTTTGCAGCAAGTTAGTACCATGACAACCTGACAAAGGAATATAAAGGCCAGGAAAACAGGCCTTTGAATAACTGAAAAGTCTTACTTCATAGAAAGCCGTCTGAACAATATATTCCTTTTTCCAAAGCCATCTAACAATTCTTTGCCATTGGTATATCATGTCTGTTAGTGTGATACCTTCCTAATCTCCAATACTACTCAATATTTCCTTTAATCTGTCCTTCAACAAAAGGCAAGAAAACTTAAAAAATGGTCACGGTTGAAAAAAGATACAAAAAATATAAAAAATAAAACAGAATTGAATATCACACCCATATAAGGGGAAGACATTCTAAACCTATAATATTCGGGGGCAGGGAGGCAACAAAACTTAACCAAAATTTAAAAACTTCTACATACAGGAGAAAAAATTTAATTGAAGTCAAGAGGCAAAAACAGACTAAAAAAAAGTTTATGCAGACAATGTGGTTAAAAGTTTAAGGTTAATATCTTTTATGATTAAAAACACCACTCAAAGAAATATATAAATAACATTAAAACCAAATGACAGAGTAAAAATATTATTGTTATAATTTATAAAATACAGGAACATATTTTAAAAGTTTCATCTTGTTAGCAATTGGGGGTAAAATGTACTACTTAAAAAAAAGGCTCCATTTTCCCTGATTAAATTAAACTAGCATAGATGTGTTGAAGCCGGTATTTTGGAACACTGCTGTGGCACTAAAAATTAATCTTTTCAGAAAATAGTTTAGTGATATGGACCAAGAATTTAACTCATATTATGTAAGAAATGTTTGACTAGTAATTTCACTTCAAGGTACTGATCCTAATAAAATAACAAAAATGAAAAAAAACTGTTTGAACACACATTAATCAAAGCATTAGTCATAATAGCAAAAGGCTTTTCTCTATATCTTAAATTTTTCTATAATGATGTTAAAACACTTTTATAAAAACCAATTTCAAAAAAATGCTATTAAGTATTTGATTCAGTTATTATTTTCTAGGCCATCAGCTATGTTTCACTGAAAAAAAGGTCATTTTGCTACATACTCAGCTCTTAATTTACATAAAACAGGGAGTAAGAAATTATTCTGATGAAAAGGATTTATTCAATATAGCTAATTTTACCATGTACCTTGGGTTAGTATAAATCTAGTCCAATATTATAACTCATCTAAATCTAAGGTATAGAAAAAAATCTAATGATTACTACTTTAAGCCACTATTATGAAGATGAGCTATATACTGTTTCTAATGCAAAAATGATGTATTTTTTTAACAAAAATACTGTAGATGATTTAAAAAGTGAACTATAGAATACTCAAAACAGTATATTTCTTGTTTATTT